AATATTTTGATTTTTTTAAAATAAAGTTAATTAACAAGATCCCCACATTTTTTTACACCTGAATAAATATTTTAAAAAAAATAAAATTTTTCTAGTGACAGCTACCCTTTCTTTGCTTTAATCAGACTGTCAACATAAGCTATTGGATACTCATGCTCCTCTGAAATTTAAAATATGTATATAAATAAAATAAAAAATGTCTATAAAGTTATCATCCAATAAACAACAACTTTACCACTCAATTTCAGTTTTGCCAAGAACATTTCTAGTGGTCATGTGTAGTTTAACTTTATGGATAGTATATATTCAGGACGCAGTCATTATGAAGATTTTATTGGTGCCGACGTTTCAAGTCAATCATGTGGGTCATTATCAGGATTGAAAATATGTTTAATACAATCAGAAATATAATATTATACGACAGTTAATGGTTAATAATAAAAAAATCGGGTGTGGGCAACACACAACTTTCACTTACTGCTTAACTTTGAAAAAAAATTATTTTCTGGCCATGTGGGGCTATTATAAAATTTTTTGATTGTATTTTTAACCGAGCTAAAGCTAAAAAAATACAGCTAACCAATCATAAATACCATTAAAATAACAAAAGTCCTATTTATTATATCACCGGTTGATCATGAATTGTACAATCCGTTGATTAAGGAGTGTACAATCCTTTGATTATGGATTGTATGACTATTAGTTATTAAACTGTTATTTTCCGTTGCAAAGTATACTAAACGGAATCAAGAGATTTGCATTGTCTGTCCTAGATAAGTCAAAAGTTGTCACCCTAATTGTAAGTGGATACTGTTGGAATATCATAAAAGGAAATTTTATCAAACTATTCACTAATTTAATTTTCTGAAACATTACATGACAATATCTCGGAATAAAGGGAAGTTGATACCTAATTATTCATATCAGATCTACAATTATTAAACGACAGTAAATGTATTTAAGGCTATAAACATATGCTTTATACATCCATGAAATGATTTTATATTTTACTTCTTCTTTCACACAAGTACAATGAAATAGTTTTTTAAACAATGGAATTCCCTTGATTAGGTGCATTTAAAATACTTTTTTCAAGATTAAAAATATTTTAAAGTTTACATTTCGTTAGTAAATTTCATTTAATTTTCTTGGAAACATGTGATTTACATTAAATATTATTAGTTTTCAAAAATTATTATTTATAATTTTTTTGCCAGTCTCCATTACCTTCTACAACTTTCTATATTAGCTAATGTTTTTTCTAAAATTCTCTGCTTCCCAATGATATATTATAGGTATACATTCTGTAGTATTTATAGAGATTCATTTTCGAACTGGATAAGCATTTTTATTTTTTCTCCTTTATTGAATTATCAATTTCTTTCAAAAGTTATATTTAGCCTATTTTCTTTACTCTTAATAATGAGGAATAGTTAATTATTAAAAAAAAACATATTAAAGGTACTTTAGAGGAAGGCGCATATGAACAGTGGGCATTTAAGCCCTGTAAAGTGACATCAACGGGGATAAGACCTAAATGGTATTAAAAACCATTTAATCATACAATGATACATCGAGTTTAATCAAAATCGTTGGAGCCGTTTTTGAGAAAATTGTAAAAATGTGTTTCAGCATTAATATAAAGTGGCACTTCTGGTTAGCCGATTTTAAGGGAAACGTTGCTGTCACATCTAAGGCATACACCTATTCTAAATATGTAATATCGGTTTCGTACGACTTTTTATTTTTGAGCTATACTGCTAACATACACACACAGACATGCAGACCATTTTTCGGGACTTGGTTATTTGGACTGAGGGTACCCCAAAACGTGTATTTCCGTTGAAAACTCAGATTCAAAAATGTTCACAATCGCAATACTTACCCTTACTATATATTACATGTATATGTAAGTAAAAGTAAAAATAGTGTAGTCATAGTTCTTTCTATATTATCCGAAGTGCCCAAGAGGTCATAGTTTCCCAAAGGAATTTACTACGTTTACATTTTAAATAGATTTTTTGTTTGTCCAAGACTATAGTAAATAGCAATATTTTAATTTTGTTTTATTATTTATGAAATTTGCAACATTATACAAATTAATATAGATATAAACAGGCACAAATATGTTTATACTTATACTATTAGAACTATATAATCCTTAATATAATAATTTTTTTATGATCAATATTGTTATTCTTAAAATATTGTATAATATATTGTACTACTTACCATTTCAATCCATTACAGTTATCTGTATTGTAAGCATTATTTGGCGAACTATTGTACACCTTCAATCAAACTATGTTATGTTTATGTTGATTGGCATCTCTTTAATTGTGTAACTTTAAGAAGCAACACAAATCTTATATACATCTTGAATAATTTTGTTAGCAAATTATTTGCATTCTACAAACAGAAATGTTACCACCTCCCCCTCTCTGACTATGCTTACCTACTTTTTGCTATCTTAAAAATACATCTAGAAAATCCTCCACCGATCCTTTTACTTACCTATCGAAGTGTCAGTACTTAATACCTCCTGTTCTCAAAACACAATTAGTAAGTGAAAATATTATATTTTTTTTTATAAATTGATTATATACATTATTTTTAGTTTGTATAACTTTTTACATATTTCATTTGTCTATTTCATGTATCATCAATTACTATTTTTTTATTATTAACCATTATCTGTTGTGTAATATTATATCTCTGATTGTGTTAATCACCCATGATATGTAGGACAGTCGACTAGCTTCCTTCAATAGTTTAATTTTAGTTTCTTAAGTCGAACCAGTCCTCGATTGTGCAATCCTTTTATCTAGTGATAATCGTTGATTGTCAGCATAAGTTACTGTTTTAAAATTACTAATTTCAGGAAGGATGTTATTAGCATATAATATTGGCTTAAATAGTGAATGTAATTAAAATAATCCAAATTGATTTTCAGATACAAATTATTTGTCAGTTATTACTCCAATAGTTCTTTAGTATAACAGAATTTAATAAGTCAATCACTTATAAACAAATGAATAAGATATGTCTCATGAATTCTGTACCTAGGCATTGCGATCCATGAAGTGCCGGCATTAGACATCTAGTGCCTCTGGACAATGACAATGATCCCAGGTAATTAATTACCTGTCTCTACAGCCGGCACTGGTTCCATGCATGGTTTAAAAAAGTTAGTAATGTGGGAACTGGTCAAATTTTATTTTGTTGGACCAAGACCTCCTTAATATATAATTGTCCTAACTGAATAATATTTGGAATAAAAAACACTTTCAATATAAAAGAAACTGCTTTATTTTACTCTGCAATTTCTTAATTCGTAATAATTATGTTTCAAAACTCCCCCTCAATAATGTAGGGTTTCGCATTGAAAAGCTTTGAATTCAGTCTTTTCCTTTGATCAGAGAATCTTGTAAAGCCTAAGACCTGAGGAAAATATCTGCAATCTGTTCTTCTGAATCTAAAGCTTTTTGGGTACGCGATTTTTTAGCTATTAAGTTAAATTCCAATTCTGGAATGTTAAGCATTTTTTAAATGTTGAATTAACTTTCCAGATCTTCCTCAAACCTAAAACAATTAAATGATTATTATTAAGCATAGCTACTTGTTTATCTGAGATTGGAATAAACTCTTCAAATCATTCTCTAATACTAACCATGTACTGAGATGATATGGTTAATAAAATCCATTCAATTTTAAAGTTCAAGTCTTGCCTGTAGTTTGCATTTGAAAGTGTTGCAGCCATATTATCATTTCCTTGTTTACTGCTTGATTCCACCAAACTTTTTGGGTAGTAACGACTAATATGACCTGTTTGAATACATGATTACTATTCTTATTATTACCATTAAATTCATTGCACTCTTTAATGAAAAGTTCAGATTTTTTATTGTAATTGCAACTTTTAACACATTTAAAAAAAAAACTAACTATCTTAGGCTCTTTTTCTTCATCTTCTATCTCTTCTGCAGTATAATGTTTCTCAAAATTTTCTTTTAAAGGTTTTAAAGCCTCATCCTTAGATTTTGAAATCTTAACATTCTCAGCTCATTCAAAAGCTGTAATAAAATACTATTATTCGTTGGGTAGAATTTTAAACTTTTGCAGTTTTCACATTCATTAGACAAACGTTCGCTAATTTTCTTGATATAATATCAATTTATTCAAAGAATCCTGTCACATTTCAAAGAATCCTGTCACATTTCAAAGATTAAAATAGATTTAGCAAATACAATTTATTTAGAGTTAAATTTACACAAAACAAAGATATAATATATATTATCTGATGTTTTACTAGTTATCAATTCCCTTATACACAGAGCTATTATAGAACATTTCCTTTAAAACATAGAACTACTTTTTTTTTGGTCCTCCCCACTCGCCTTTTCGGCTGTATGGGGTTTTGCTGAGCCAGGGAAAAGAGGCGAGGATTAATACCACATTATAAGTCCCCAGCATCAGGATGTGAAATCGTGGCTATTTTATCATGTTATCTTCAGTTTATCAGATTGCCTGGCAATGCACGTTTTACACATGCGTTAGTTCGCTCAGCCACTCTATCTTCACCTTAGCCTACACAGACACTTGCATAAACATGCCTCCCCCAAATCATCACCACCACAGAGCAATTGCCTATTTCATAATAATTATTTACGAATAATTAATACCAGATTATAAGTTCCCAGCATCAGGATGTGAAATCATGGCTATTTTATCATGTTATCTTCAGTTTATCAGATTGCCTGGCAATGCACGTTTTACACATGCGTTAGTTCGCTCAGCCACTCTATCTTCACCTTAGCCTACACAGACACTTGCATAAACATGCCTCCCCCAAATCATCACCATCACAGAGCAATTGCCTATTTCGTAATAATTATATTTCAACAGATGTATTTTGTATGTGGACCTATTAACTCCTATCATTAGTATAAAAGACTGTTTTATAATAATCTTATTTTACATATTGGAGTGGTATTATTGGTTACTTCAGTTGATTAATAAATTTAATTTTCTTGTTCTATTCTCTTTTTAATAGACTATTGTTTTATAATGTTCCCAATGAAATGCCTGGCTTATTTTATTAGAAGGCTTGTATTATTTGAAAAAATTGTTACAAAAGTCTAAAGTTTGCAACATAAAGTTGTGGAAACAATTTTTAAAAAATAAGCACTGAGATGAAGCATTGTATTTGGTTTTTCTGTTTTGATATATAAAAATTCTAAACTATTTCTAAGCTAGTTTAAAGGTGCGTTTAGACATTTTATAATTTATGGACAAACAAATATTTAAATGTGTATTGACTATGCCAATATTTTTGTTTCTTGTTTTTGAATTTTTTCATCTGCTGTCAGTATCAAGAGAAATAAAATAAATGGTTTGCTTTTGCAATAATGTTAGAGTTAAAGTTAGATAATTGGATTTCCCATAGTTTCATGAAATGTCGTACCTTTAGGTAGAGGTAGGTAGGTAGGTACCTTTAGATATATAACTCCGAATGCATTTGGATATTCAAGATTTTTAAAAAGTATTTTCTAGAAAATTATACTCCAACCACTTGCCAAAAATAAAATTAAGTGATTAAAGCCTGCTTAAGTAATAGTCGGGTTGATGATTGGTGAAATTAATATTTATTTTCACCTTGTTTTAATCTGAAAAGTAAAAAAAACAAAATTCGCAACAAAAACAATTTACATGTTGCAATTTTAATAAAATACTAAATAGCTCATCCATATTGTTATTGTTATTAAAATTGTTATTAAGGGTTTATAAACCAATTGAGGTTTATAAAACAATATAAAGTATATGAAATATAACTGAAAGTATTAGTTTTTTGATCCGATTTATTGGTATTTATTTGTCTTAAATGTTCAAAGGCTGAAAGAAGATAGAGGTTATAGTGTTTAAATAGTTTACTTTGAAATCTTATCTGGAACATCCAATATGTTCTACATCATTTGTTTATCTTTTTTTATTTATTGTTTCTTCCTTCTTTTTGTCTATAGGTTTATTTATTTGTTTTTTTTTTAGAATTTAGGCATTTGTCATAATTAATCACATTCTTTTTTATGATAGGGTTATGGACAAATAACAATAATGATAAATTGAGATATATTAAATCATGTTTATTTTCATAGAATTATTTTTTTTTCTTTACTGTTTATTAAAATTATTAGTTAAAATGTGGAAAACACTATAGCAATTACGGATACATTATTTTTTAATATTGCCCAACATTAGTTTATCACATTACAGCAAAATTTCATAAATGAGATTTAAGATTGGTACTTTATTGCATGAAAAAATAAAATGGTAAACTATATTTAAAAACTGTACAAGGCATAGCATTATAAAATTATATAATACATAAATATTTACAATCTAAAATACACAATGGTGGCTCATAAATAAATAATATTTACATATTACTTTAGGCAGTACATAGATAATGAGCTAATTTTGATTTATATTATATTTATATATTGCTACAGTAAAGCTCTATCAGTTTGATCACAATAAATTGGTATTCAATTTACAACTTAAAAATATTCTGTGAACTTGGTTAGGAATATAAATGAATATTTTTGGATATTTATTAAGCATAATAATATTAAATAACTGATCTTAATAGATTCATAGTTATTTTGGGTCTTAAAAAATCTTGTAGTAATTGATGTAATACTTTTATTTCGAACATATGTGTATATATGTTTAAATTTGTATTGAGAGTGAGCTGGCAGTGTCTGCAATGTGCAAATTAAGTAGCTTTAAATGACAATCTAAAAGTATTTTTTTCATACTAAAATAAAATTATTTACCTATTTTTTTTAAATTTAATAATAAATTGAATTACAGTTTTCATAATATTTTTAGTGGTAATCTTTCATTTTAATATCATTTAGTGGAGATATTGTAGATTTAAGAAGATATAGAATCAATAAATTATCAGGCAGAAGGTATTTGCAGCTCACTGTCGATATTCTATTGTGATTGTATGGTTTTTAATTTATGCAATGTTTCTAATGAATAGTGAATAAACCAAGTTCACAAATTTAATTTTGTTTCTGTACAAGACTACAAAAAATTACAAATATATATTACAGTGGAATATTTACAACCTTACATAACTACTAGTTTACAGGCGAGTTCATTACCATATTCGAATAATAATTATTTTTCGAATTGAGTAGTCGCCGAGGGAATGATATACAATTTTTAAATATACACAATTTATAAATAAAAAATATATAAATTAAATATGTAACAAATGTTAAGTCTTTTAGGTAATTTTTAAATAAGCGTTCTTCCAGAGCCAAGCAAAAGGACTGTTTGGTTAAATTCATTCAATCAAAATAATAACTCCATTAATAAATATTATGAACTGATTTTTATATTTTGCAGTTGTAGTTAATAAGTTAATAATACTCAACTGTCTTAAATATTTTTTTCTAAATTAATGTACTCGCCCTCTGACAATTTTATGAATCTTAATTTATACTAAGTACCTAATTTATGGAGTTAGCAGCTCTTCAGTGACCAAACAAGGCTCTAATGATTCATCTTATATAAACTATTAATTAACTAGTTCTCTTCATACTTTATTCACATCACTTGTATCATACATTAAAAATTTTGGTGCAAAATAGGATGAAAATTTATATAAGACAAAAGGATACCAAGGTATTCCTTTTACTGCAGTCTCTTTAGCATGCACAGTACTATGACGGAATGTAACTAGGCTATAAAATCTAGAAATAGCTTCCTTTGCATTTACATATAATCTTACAGGTGCAAAGGCAAAATGAGCTATAGTTTGGCTTTCTATAACTGCGTAACAGGATGCGACAACCCTATCAACTATCACAGTTCCGGTTTTAGTCAGAGGAGCATATACTCCTGTGTCAAGCACTAATTCGGATTTAATAACTGTCTCTTGATGGAGTTCACCTTTTTCTGAACTAACCAATAGAATATCTCCTAGTTTTATCCTAGCTGCAAAAACATTCTCCAATGTGTTGTTATCTTTTACCCTGATGAGGAGATGTTGAGGAGTCACCCGCAGATTGGTAGATGGAGTATTGATATTCAAGAACTGCCTTTTGCTCTCAGGGTTCCTATCTAAGAACATTATTACCTCAGAGTAAACAATTTTGCCGTTATCATATGAGGCAACTTTATCACCAACTTTCAGTTCTGACAGTTTTTTCTTTCCTCTTCCAGCTACTTCAACAGTACTGTTTCCAGTGAAACATCCCCCATTTTTAGCAGCTTGAGAAGATTCTGAAATAAGAAATTAATTCAAATATAGTAAATATATTTTATATTTGCTTTATATTATCATTATACAAACTATATTTGTGTGTGTTTGTGAGAGTATGGATGTATAAAAGTGTGTATACATTGAATCATTATTAATTATTTAATAGAAAGCTATTTACATATTTAATTTGTTCATTCTAGGATTGGGGGAGGGCCCCACACACCCAGCCTTGCCTCCTGTGGCATAATGTATATATATATATATCATGTGTGGAGCAAAGTGGAACTGTTCCCTCTCCCCTTCTAATTAAGAAATAAATCAAAATCAAAGAGCAACAAATTTCTGAGAAATTAAAAGAAGGTGAAATATTAGTTTTCACTATTTAAATGATTTAAAATAAATGATGAACAAAAGATAATCTACAAAAAAAATAAAAACAAATTTTCCTTCTCATGGGGCAAATTATTTTTGAACTCACTAAACCTTTTAATGCATGTGTTGGTTTGTCTCTATGAGTAAATATTTTATACAATATACCTAAAAGGTAGCCCTATGTTTCAATTTTTTAATAACTATAAATCTTTGTAATTTTTTTTTTTTTTTGTGGTCCTCGCCTTTAAGGCTATACGGGGGTTTCCCGGGCCAGGAAGTGTAAGCGGGGATTTAAAAGACTCCCCCCGCCGGGACCCGAACTCCTGACTATTTTAAATCCATTTTCTCATATATCAGGTTACCCGGCAACGGCGGTTCTGTGCACACACGTTAGCCCGTTCGGCCACCCCGCCCGATTACATGGCACTTATAATTTATGCTACAGGTGCAGCTGTGTTCTTGTTGAACTGAGGATCGATTTACTAAAGGAAATCAGAATTAGAGAATGAATACCCCATGAAAATCAATAGGCGTGCACATGATTGGGTGTTTTATCGTTATAAATAATAAATTCCAAACCTGAAGACGACCTGCAAAGTGGGTCGAAACGTCGGCAAAAATTTAAATAATTAATATATTTTAATTTATTATTTATTTGACCGCACCCTCGACTAACTCCTTCTCATAAATTCCAAACATCTACTATAATGATTATTTGTTTTTTTTGGTGTCAAACAAGGCATTATTCGGAAAGAAGACTAAGTTCGAAGGAAGGAACTGCAAGAACTGACGTAGAAGAGCCGCTACAGGGAGGAGCACTTAACCGGAGTGATCTATCGGCGTGCTAGATGTAGGCTTAGAGGCAGGGGTCCTTGTAGTTTATGTTAAACAGGCCGACAAAGGAACTCTCTGTCACCTTATCTCGCCCTCCCAGGGTCTGCTGCTGTGGTCAGCGCGGGGCATTTGTTTGCGGCTTAGTTCTCTCATCTCTCTTCGTCTCGTCCCAATGTCCTTACCTATCGATTATTCCTTCTGCATTTTGAATATATTCGCTATTAATAACACACTTCAAACATACTAAATAATTATTTGTTTTAAATACTTAGCGATCTAAATATATGTCAGTACTTTTGTTCTTTTTCTTTTGTTGATCCGGGTTTTAATAAATTTCGTAAAGATTAATTTTAGTTTGAATATTATTTTCATACCATTTTTTATCATTATTGGAGCAAAATGGTATCGTATCCTATTCCACTTTCAAATAACTGAGTGTTAAAGATACTGGCGGATTCAGTGGTACTTTTTGAAGGGAATGATCAAGACAACCACAGAATTAGAGATACTTAGCATAGAGCAGCACGAGATAATGCTATAAATTTTGTTGTCTGAAATGTATTATCTTGTCTATGGAAGACAATTAAAAATAATAAATCCATTATCCACAACTCGAACTATAAAATCAACCGCGGAAAGCACAGAAAAGATAATTGATTTATCGATTTAACGACTGATTTCTCACATGATAAATTTCCCTGTATCTAGTGAGTAATTATTTCTTACAGTTATTCATTAGTACTACTAGGTAAGTTTTAATTACCTATATATTCATCTTTTTTTTCTCAGAGGTTAATTTCAGTTTTTTAAGGGAAGAGGATTTCCCATTCCACCCGTAGTGGTGAGAAAAGGATATTCGAAAGATAGCAAACATGATTTAAGATACTTTATTACAATCAGTAATAACGTTTTAAGTATGATACCTCTCTATTCATTCGGCTCTCCAAAAATGTATGTGCTACTAGTCCTTTAATGCCTATCTACGAATCCATCAAATACCTTGCACATTTCTTTTATTGTAAATGGTATTGTAATTTGTAGGAAGCGTTGCTCTAGCTAAAGATATGGTAGAACATACTTGAAGCTTGAAATGTTGCTTGATAGAATGGTATCTAAATAAAATGTAATGAGTTTTTTTATTCTCGACTCGAGAATATTAAACTGTAACCTACTTGGAGTTGAGAACTGTCTAGTGCGGATATCATGTATACTAATGTGTATGATAAATAATAATAATAAAAGGCACACCTCTCTCCACCGTTCACCGTCCAAACCCAGTCCCTTCAGATTGGCTTTAATGCAATCTTCCCACCTTCGCTTCGGTCTACCCCTCGGACGCTTACCATTCGGCACAGCAATTATTAACCTTTTAGGAATTCTCTCGTTACTAAGCCCAACAACTTTGCAAGCCCATTTGATTCGCCGCGATGAAATTACCTCAATTATATTACTCGGATACAGTTCACGCAATTTAACGTTGTGTAACCGTCTGAACTCTCCGGTTAACTCATACTTCTTTGGTCCGAATATTTTATTTTCAAAAACCTTAAGACGCTGCTCATCCCTTAATGTAAGCGGCCAAGTTTCGCATCCATAAAGAACTGTAGGCAAGATAATTGTTTTATAGATTCTAATTTTTAAGTTCCGGGACAAGAGACGCGAACTAAGTAGTTTTGCACAGAAAAATAACAAGCATTTTCCTTCTTCAGTCTAACCTTAATCTCTTCTTCAATTTCGTTTTTTCTAGTTATCGTAGAACCTAGATACCTAAATTTATCTACCTGTTCAAACATATTACCAAATGTGTATGATATCATGTATACTAATGTGTATGATATCATGTATATTCCAAGAGGATATTATTCAAATAGCCAACTAACCCTCGATCGCCTAGTATTTATGCTTATGGATATTCTCCTCAATTAGGAAGATATTGTTTCTCTAAAAATAGTTCGGAAAGAAGGACTTTTACAGTATTAATTTTGTTTCAGCCTCTTCGGTTCGAACATTTTTATAAATGTATTTAATAAAAGACCCATGGTGAATATCTATACCTGTATTAAGGTTTTTCAAATATTAGTGATGCATTTCTAGCTGAAAACCTCCAATAAACATTATTCCGGAATAATCAGAGCTTGAAATGTATTTATTTTTTAGGATTGTTGTGTGCCGTATTATATTGCTGCCTCGGCAGTTGCGTTTTGCTTTGTTGTGGACACAACTGAGCGTGTGGCCTAGAGGTGATTACCTGAGCAGACCCCAAACTACCCCAATATTTATATTGGCCCTTCCCAGGGGGTCTTCTCTTTAACCGCCGCCAGGTTTTTGTGCCACCCTCGCTAATGGACCGCGGAGACAAATCGTCAAACAGTCCTCAGGTCACTCCACTCCCCGGATATATCATTCCCTTTGTTAAATTTATAACTGGATACCTTTAAACTGTTCGATGCCGCCTTCCATTGGAGGATAAAAGGGATACCTTCGGCAACCTGTGTCTTCCAGTTCCGCCATTGTTTGCTTTTCTACCAAAGATGCGAGACCTGCTTCGACAACAGAATCAATGGTGAATGATGGCCCTTTTTATAATATATTTCCTTGCTTGTTGCTCCGAAGCATTTGTGTAGTCTTGTTTTGATCTATTGATTCATATTTCAACAAGTATTCTTAGTAGAATGGCGCTTTAAGATAAATTCAATATTTATTTCAAATAGCACATTAAAAGCAAACTTTCATTTAACTTTTTACTATCTATGGAGAGTGCTCTGATCGTGAATAATTTCGAAATAACTGTTAAAAGGTTCCTTGAGTACTAATAACCCAAGTATCGCAATAACTCTGCAGGGTTGTCCAGAATAGGGTTTTATTGCGCAAGTTACGCCATCAAAATTTTTGAGGGAGCCGTATTTTGGATTTTAGTGGTGATATATTTCAACGGTGTTATGAATTTTCGGAATGAAAAGATTTAAACTAAAATACAAGGGAAATCATGGAACAGACTGCGGGAAGTGTAATTGTATATAATCTATAATTTTTATAATTCTACTTTCTCTCGAATTGATCATGGGGGAGAGAAGAGGAGGGAGAATTTTAAAGGTTAAGTATTTTCTAGGAAAACATTTGAACGCTCGGTATTCCTTTGTCCGTAAAGGCACGGAGATTATATGCTCAGGTAGCTAGGAAGTGGCTTTTGGCTTAGGACTCAAAAACAATTTAACAACCGACTTGGCAGGTAAAAGTTAAGTAGATACTTTTTTGAAAACAGTCTGACCTGAAGTTATCGTACCGAAAAGATCTTTCGCAGAAACTACTTAAACCAGCATTGAAATATGTCTTTTCTAATAGCAATAGGAATTCTCTCAAAAGAAAGTCTTTATTTCTGGAAAATCACTTGAAAGATAAAGAGATATGTACTGTTATTTTTAGTGTTTAAAACGTATTTATATTGCTATAATCATCTTCATATTATCCAAACATTTCTGATAAACAAATAAGGATTTGTAAACAAATGAGAGGTTCAGTTCAGAATTATTTTTTTAAGCGTTTCTATTAAACTTGCAATAGCTATGATGAAGGAATTGTTACGGTATCTACTTACATTAACGCTCCGCATATGTAGTGTCTATGTAGAAACGGCCACCTTTTTATTCTGTATTATCTAATTTGTTCAAATTAAATTTAATGATATGATGATTTGGCTATATTAAGACCATATACCAATTGAATTTGCGTAGAAAACCTGCGTTCCTTTTACATGGTACAATTGACTAAGTCAGGCCGGACAGTTTCCTGCAATATGAGACCTCCTCAAAATGTC